AAGTCAATTTTGCGACCAAAGAGGAATCCTGAGAAATTTTTGGCGGGGGCGAGGCCCCCTTCCTCAGGGGATTACTTTCTGCCGTTCAGGGGGGTCTATTAGAACTCTTAGGAGTCACTTAAGATGTAAATGTGTTCTGCTCCTCAATTTGGATGCAATCAATTTGCGATTCGGAAAGGAGCCCAGATTTTTAAAATTGGGCCCCCCGTTTACCTCCCAAGGGGGGCTATAGGAGCTTCGGGACCATGAAATTTGGATTTCTCGAGGTCGATTACCTGGGTAACCGACTTTTTCTGGAGAATTTACGTCAATTTTGAGACCAAAGAGAAATTATGGAGGGGGATACTGTCCCCCTCTTTAGGGGATCATTTTTGGGCCTTGGATGGTCCGATTTTGGATTTTTAGGGGTCAATTCCACGTGAAATTTTTTGTGCTTTTCAATTCTGATGCGATCGATCCGCAATTCGGTCGGGAACCGTGACTTTTAGCATCGTGACCCCCCTTTACCCCCCAAGGGTGAGGGTGGGGGGGTTTCGGGACCACGAAATTCGGATTCCTTGGGGTCAATTCCCTATTTAACCCCGCGGTCTCCGACTTCGTACGACCTAAACCAACCGAGAAAAAGGCCTGGTACGGGTGGTCTGAAACACCCTGTATGGTAAATGCTACCATACAGTTTGGTGTTTATTACCATACATGTATCACTGTGTCTGAGCATGGTAAAATCTACCATATTTGTTTTTCAGTGTCGAGAATTTTTCTTTGAAAATTTTTCACTTAAACGTTAGATGTTTCCAAATGATTGTGAGAGATTCCAAATGAGATGATTTTCCAAAAGGAGGAAAAAAATCAAACAAAGGACGACTCATCAATATACGTCAAAGAAAACTGTACAAATCTTGTTAAGTGACCTTAGTTCGTTTGCAATCTCAATCTCAAGGATTGGCAATATTCTAATACATGTAGACAACCCATGCATTTTTGGAAGATTGATAACTTTACGACGAAATCAGTAATAATTTACTTCATCGGCTCAAGAACTGACGCTCATATCAAGTTAAAGAGTAAAATAACCAAGCAAAGCACCCTCAGTTAGTGTCTCATACAATGAACACCAAACAAATTTTATTAAAACGCCTAAATGCAACTATCTGGGCTTCATGGATGCCTGCGTGTTGTACACGCACGGATATGAAGGCGTTTTGGCTTGGTTCGCCAGGCACTCACTGTTTAATGATTACAGAGGATGATTTGCGCCTTTAAAAAAATTTTCACAAACATATACATTAAATTATTATGTTCGTTTGTCTTTTGGATAAAGACGATTGAATATTACGTCATTGAGAAGTTAATTTCCCGCGTTTTAATCAGATTTCCAGCATAAATAGCGTTTTTTTAAATATCTTTTTCTCAAAGTTCAAGGGCAATGGAGATGTTGCATGTGTGAGGAATTTGCGATTTGACTTTTGATTCTTATGTAAAAGTTCGCGAGAAACTCGATGGTGCTACTGGTTTTCTCTGAAATCAACTCCCAAGCTCAAAAAAAGCTCTCAAGTTGAGGCCAAAATGGAGGGGATATCTCACGCTATCCTGAAAGTCCATCTCTATATCAAGACAAACTCTCCATGCAAAGATAGGGAACAAATACATTAGCAGGGTTGCCGTGTTTTCAGTTTTAGAGTCCCTAAATAAAGTGGCAGCCCTGTCAATGTATTTGCTCCCTATCTTTGCATGGAGAGTTGGTCTTAATGTAGAGGTGGACTCTCAGGATAGCGTGGGATATCCCCTCCATTTTGGCCTCAACTCGAGAGCTTTTTTTGAGCTTGGGAGTTGATTTCAGAGAAAACCAGTGGCACCGTCGTGTTTCTCGCGAACTTTTGTATTAGAATCAGGAGTCAAATCGCAAATTCCTCACATATGCAACACCTCCATTATTTCTGCGCAATTGACTTTCTGCTTTTACCGCTCCAAAGAGTGCAAATCTTCATTGGTGCTTTTGGACATTTGCATTTTTGTAATTTTACTCATAAGGTTTGACGGCACAGTTCTTCAGTTCTGACAGTTTCTTTTCTAAAATCACACAAATCTTACGTCCTTTTTACTCCTAATTTATGCATTGTGCTGCCAGTAGTAAAAGGGGAGGAGATTTTGGATTTAAAATGAGACGATTGCACTTACGTTGACGGAAGTTCCAAAAAACCCCGATTCAGACCCTAGCACCCCCCCTTTTTTTTTGAACCACTCTCTTTAGAAGAGTGCTTCATATCTAACTTCCATAAACTTCGACTTTTAAGAACATTTTTTTTAAAACTTCAATATTGTAATTTTGAATATTTAACTATTTAAAAAGTTTCTTATTCATTATCATATGAATGAAAATTAATTGACAGATAGTCCGCAGGTCCGCGGGGGGGGGGGCGGAGGGAAGCTACTAGGATTTCTAACTACCTTGACAGATTCTAAAAGAATTGGAAATCAGGATAAAAACAATTTCGTGGCTTTTTCATTGAAACATTTTAATAAATTAATCTTTTTACAAACTCAGAAGTTTATCTACATGCATGATTTAAAAGATCTGCATTAAAATGCTCTCTCTTATATGTATGTTGTCTATTGCACATTTTCATCCTTACAACTATTTCATTAATACCTAACTAATTTTTACAGGCCCACCAAAAATCAGATAAGTCCCAGAGCTTTTGATTTCATGTGCCAAAAGATCGGCAGCACCCCTTACTTTTTATACATAATATTCAAAAGCAAAGCAGAGCTTTTGAGAGAGGCTGCTTGAACGATTAAGACGGAAATATTCTAACCGTCAAGAATTCGATCGAACATCCAGATCTTTAAAGCGATCTTCTTGCAAGGAGATGGAGATTCAAGCAGAAAGATCTGGTCTTCGCACTCAATGTTCATATAATTGGGCAAAACTATCAAAAACCACTTTAATCTGAAAATTTCTATAGATAGTTTCACCCTGAAAACTAGAACTTACGTGTTCATTATAAGTCAGATGTAATAAGTATATGGTATGGACCACATGCTGAGGTACAAATTTTAGCATTGTGAAATATTCTTTCCTTCCCAATATTTCACTTAGATGACTATTTGTGCAATGAAAATTACTGAAATTAACTTATTTTTGAGAAATTAAGAAAAAACATGTTTAATTAAGCACGGGTTACGAACAATATGACTTTTCCGCTTATACAAAAAACCAATCTCTGTGTGAACCTATTATACTAGTATTAGAACGGTTTTGACAGGCTTTCCCTAATCAAACAGTGTTCCTTTCCAATCCAGTGCTTCAACAGCTGAGCCAAAGCTCAGAGATTGAGATTGTCATATTTTCATTCCGCAGACACCATTGCAAAAACGTTAAGGTTGCGATTTAATTCACGGAGCTGATACTTTTATTATTGAACGAGAAGTTTGAATGCATGCATTGGAAAACATCAATATCTTAGTTGATAGTTAGTTTCAATGATTTTTGTTGCACAAATCGTGATCTACTTGAAAGTTTAGCGAAAAAAAAAAAAAAGTGAAAAAAATTCATCACAATACTTAAATTAGGACCTTGTCTGGTGGGCTATTGAAGACAAAATAATTATCTCGGCTCAGCACCTCTCCAGCTACCAAGCTGTTACCCTATACATCAAGGATATACTTTAAGTAGACTCTTCATGCATTTAGAACTACATGCTAAATGCAGAAAATTTAATCCTGCGCACTACGAAGTTTCGATTCTTGAAGTAGAAGAGGCGATGGTAAGATGGATCTAGAAAAGATGATTCCAATCATGCGCCGACGAAGATCCTCAATATGAGTGCCAATTTAGGGGTAATACCCAAGCGAATTTTCAAGATTTGAGTGTTTCAAGTAGTGCGGCTCATTCCCTTGAACAATACACGAGTCCGGTGATTGTATAGCATTGTAGATGACCGCATCACGGGTTACCTTATACGGCTGCGAGATGCACTTCTGCATGGACGTCGAGTTAGAAAACAGAGCCGCAATCTCAGCAGATTTCTTGACGGACAACGCTTCCGTGGCGGTCATGTGACTGTTGCTCCTGGTCAAGGAGCGCTGCCGCCCGTTCTCCGGGCGCCCGGAGTCCAAGTATATGATCCGCCCCTTGGAGTCGCGAGCCGACACCACCAACACCTTCTTCTCTTTCCGATACCCGCGGGGCTGCTTCCCCTTGGAGCTGGAGAACATGTCGTAGTCCAGAGCCAGGTTGTCCGAACTCAGGCTCTTCCGCTGCGAGTTGATGGTCGAGGCTTGGGACGACGCGTTGTGGTACGAGAAAGACGACGAGCTCGGGTGGTTCTTGTAGTTGAGGGAGTCGTACACCTCCATGCGGTTCAAGTAGGAGCCCTTCTTCCCGCCTTTTTGGCTCTGGGTCCGCGAGAACTGGACGAACTCGAGGCTCTTGGAGGACTGCGCTCCGAGGTGACCAGGCCTCGAGCGCGTCGTCGACTCGTTCTTCTGCCAGGCGGTCGTCGGCGATGCCGCTCGCGAGAGGCTCGAGTCCGACGCCGCGAAGCCTTGCTGCTTGAGCTGCTCGAACGCCGACAGATTGCGCAAGTTGTTGCAGTAGCATTTCTCGCTCTCCACGCAGCTGTCCGTGTCGCAGTCGCATGAAGACAGCGACATGGCGCCGGAGTCGAGTAGCGGCGGCTGGGAGCGCTTCTGGGAGCGTGGCCGAGGTCTCTGTGCCAGGGAGCAGTAGCACTTGGTCGCCGACGAGCAGGAGCAGGACTCGGTGTTGCAGCTACACTCGGAGTAGGAGAAGTACCCGCTCGAGGACTGGTGGAAGCAGTCGCCGTTGCCGTGAGACTTGTCGCCGTTGCGTTGAGACTTGTCGCAGCGGATCAAGCTGAAGAAGTCGCTGTCCTCCGACGTCGAGTGGGGCGCCTTCCTTCCGCTGGGTCTTCGGGAGGACCGCGCCTTCCGGTGCGCCACCTTGAAGCTGGGTCGGCGAGACGCCCGAACGCTCGGGCGCTTCCGGCTCAAGTACGATGACCATGTCGTCACCGAAGTGTCTGTATAGTCCGACTTGCTCTTCTTGTGCTTATCCGCGGGGAAAATCCCAGAGGTGAACTCCAAGGTCCCGCCTCGCTTCTTGCACTTCTTTTTACGCTGGTTCAGCTTCGAGACGGACTTGCGGAAGGCGTTCTTGAGACTCAGTGAAGTGATACTGCTGCTTTTCGATCGCTTCCGTTTCTGCTTCTTCAGGACCTTCTGTCGCTGCATGATGAGCTTGCTCCGCTCGTAGAGCTCGTCTTTGGTCAGAGTCAAGGCCAACTTCAAGAGGAATTCTTTGTAGATGGGTTTGAGGTCGTTGAAGGACATTCCCTCCCGGTTGATGATCGCGTTGAGGATGTCATCCATGCTGTTGAGTCCCTCTTGGTTCTGTAGCTCGGTGAATATCTCGTTGAAGCCGAGAGGACTCGACTCTTTCACCTTCTTACTCAGGTCGCTGGATGGATGGTTTCGGCTCGGTCGATTGTAGTTCGTGACGAACGGACCGTTGGCGTTCAAGAAGCTCCTACTCCTAGGAATGGCAACCTTGGTAAATATGTCTCCCGACTGGGTGTCCATCATCGACTGGACTCCACTCGGACACCGCTCGGAGGCAGATCTCCTCAAATTTTGATTGATTTCGTTGACAGGGCTACGGAAGGACTTGGGATGACCAGTCTGGTCCGGCTTCGGTCTTCGCGGTCGGATATCGTTGAAATCCGTCTGCGTGACCTTGGTCGCGCTTGAAATCGACCCGCTCGACGACCTGATCGAGTTGCTTTTCGGGGGTCGCTTCGGGGGTTTAGAAAAATCCTCTTTGGATTTAGGCGCGTGGCTACTCCGAGGCATGTTCGGAGTCCGGTCGTTCTCAATGACCACCGTCACCTCTTGGAATCTCCCTTCGTTGCCGCGGTTCGACATACTACTATTCGAGCGCAGACTCCTCCGATTCTGGTTCCGATGGAACTGACTAGCGTTCGACTCTCGAGAGCTTTCTCTCATGCCTCCGTCCGTCCTCTTCAACCTGAGTTTCCCGTTCTGGTTCTTCTCCAACCGGTTGACGTCGCTCGAGCTGCTCACGCTCATGCTGCTGAGCCCGTTGAAGTGTTTCAACTTGTGTTTGGAGTTGGGTTCGGACATGGCGCGGACCAACGCCTTGTACAGCTTAGCGGCGATCGTGATGGCCAACTCGTTGGACTCGCAGACGAAGCCGTGGCACTCGAGTTGCTTCGAGGCTAGCTTCTTCATGACGACCACGAAGATCGGCAGGTTATCCGAGTTCCTATTCTCGAAAATGAGAGTCTCGGTGGATGTGAGGCGTTGGAAGAGGGCGGCCTTGTCGTTCGGGTCCTGGTTTGAAATCAGCGGCATGAAAGAGTACTCCATGCCGAACTCCTTCCCGTGGTTGAGGCTGCGCGGCCGGCACACGAACTTGACCGCCGCCCAGACGGCGATCGTCGCGAACGGGTTCGTCTGCTCCCGCTCGCGGCAGGATATCCGAAGCCCCGTCGACGTGATCTCCAGCGAGGACATCAAGTTACAACCGCGGTTGTTCTCCAGGCTCTTGACGTAGTTGAAGTAGAGGTTCTTCAGAGGCTCCTGCAAGCTCTCCAACGAGGAGATCTTCCTGTTGTTCAAGGAGATGGAGCCCAGATAGTCGACGTGGTAGCAGTGACTCGTGCGGCTGTCGCTGTCCGTCGACTCTTCGTCCTTCTTGTCGAAGTCGTTGTGGATCTCGGAGAACATCTTGTCGATCTTCATCTGGATGTTGTTTTGGTTGATGCTCTCGTCCGAGTCTTCGCCGTCGTTGGCGTTGATCAGGGATGTCTTGAGCCCGATCGGGTGCGACTGGACGGACTGGGTCTCGAACATGGCGTCGATCTTCTGCTTGCAGGAGGCGATGGAGCCGCTGCAGATGGAGCTCTTGTCGAACTTCTGCGAGGCGCGCTCCATGACGCTCGTCGAGTTGAGGTCGAGGACGTTCTGCTGCCCCAGACGGAATCCGCGACCCCCGGAGGAAATCGACGGGCTCCCGATCATCCGCGGGTTGTCCTGGTACTTCATCATCAGGATCTCGTAGTTGTTGTCCATCTTAATCGAGTCCCGGAGGCTTTCGCCGAAACAATTACTTTTCACCATTTTCACTCCTTCCAATTCAACCTCCTACAGATTTAATAACTCCAATTTATTTTACTCAAACCCTTATTAAGTTCAAGTTTGTATTTCAAATTTTTGGAATAGAGGCTATATTATTAGAGCAGTTAAATAATTCTGATTCCAGTGCGAATAATCTGCCAGGAAAAATGTTCTCCTTTAAAACCCTATCTCAACAAAAAGATAAACCTAAGAGCTGCATATGCTCCTGAATTATTTCATCTACTTTTCTATGATCCCTATCACTCAATACTTAAATATTATCTTCCACGTCTTCTCAAGACCACTGTGTTCTTCACGAATCAATTTTTTTTCTAAAACAAAAAGAATTTAAATACAAAATTGCACAAAACTATCCGGTTTGTATCTTAAAATGCTTTTTTTAAAACAAAAATCTCTTCATATAAAAAATAAATTAAACATACAAATAATATTGCACCGAGTTTCTTGAGCTATTGCCACTCCCGTACTTTGACTAGACTAATTTTCGGGAGAAATTAGTTGCAGGGGTGAACAGCTCTAGCCGACTTTTTGTTTGCATCGCCCGCAATCTCGAGTGATTCTCCAGCTGGTTCATCTGAAATCAAACAAAATCATAGCTATAGAGTGTTCCGATACAACCGTTCGATGGAGAGCGATGCCCGCATTTCCAACAGTCTGTAGACAAACGTCAAAATGTTCAATGCAACACGCCTTATTTTGTCGTTCTACAGATTAACATACGTAGCTACATTTCTTGTGAATGCAATTCGTAAAAAAAAGAGAGAGAGAGAAAAATTGTATGCATTATTGGAAATATGATGTATCTACAGTAATGCTTCGAAATTGGAAATTCGACGCATTTACGGTAATGCGATGCATTTACGATAATGCGATGCATTTACGATAATGCGACACATTTGCGATAATCAATGTGTTGACCGACCAGCATCTGCGGGCTGAAAATTGATGGACAAATAAGACAAAGGGAAAATGGAGAGATCCTATTGGTAGAAACGAGTATAATTGTCATAGATTAAGGGAGAAACTATGGACTCAATGACGACAATGGACACCGATGGAGTCGTGGGTTGCCGTCACTCTTTCCCACCAATCGGATCGCTCTATTTTCCCATTGTCCTCTTTGTCCATCGCTTTTATCTCTTATCAATAATCAGCCAGCTGAACTCGTATGATGCCGTGCTAAGGAAGAACACCGTATGAACCTTCAAGCGTTGCCAAATTTCTTTTAGTAAATCACGAATTTTCGGGAAAATTTGTCAATATTTTTCTTCAAATTTTTCAGAGAATTTTGTTCTAAATTCGATTAAATAGTCTGAAATTTTCAAGGCTAAATATTCATAACTTTCTCCAAAAATAAACATTTTCTAACAGAAAATTTGGCGACTCTAGAATGTTCGTACGGCGTTTTTCCTTAGCACGGCAGTATGCTACCATGACGTGTCTCAGTAATGAAGGTTACCTCAACGACGGCTCGGGGAAAATGACTGAAAGGCGATGAACGGTGGGTTGGCGAGTGCGGTGCCATTCCTCGGGGATTTAATTGATGGCGACAGTTAGTCGGCTGAGCCGGTGACCACGGTGACCAGCGGTGGCATACCCGGCCCGACCCGCGAGATCTGCGACCACTCGTGAGAAGACCCGCCGCGCATACGGGATCGCAAACGCGCCTCCGAGCCAGACCACCGCTCCGAGTAACAGGACGTATCCAGCAATGCCTCCAGGGCCACTCAAACTCATCGCCATCTCTACATGGATCTTGCAAAATTTTCAACATAATCGACCAGGAGACAAGGTTCGAATTGGTGCTAGGTCATTTTTCCTACATTTTTTTTCCTACATCAGGTTTTCCTAATACTTTTTATCCCATTACAGTAAGTCCTCCGAGTGAGATGTCCCACTAGTTTTTTTTTAATGGTGTTTGTCCTAATAATCTAATAATAATTGAAACGTAAACATGAGTAGAGTAGAGGGAAATGTTTCGGGAAGTGTAAAGTTTTCTCAGCGAGCTGAATGTAAGCGCGTGAATAGGAGACAGCACAATCTGAGCATTATGTACCCTCAATATAAGGAAGAGGATGAAGTTCCACTACTTGCGGGCATGCGGCCACAACTTTAACTTGTGAGGTACCTTTTTTGTTTTTATTACTCCCTCGTTCCCCTATAGTTTTAAAATTGAATTTAGGACAAATGCCCCTAGGAAAAAAGCCCGTAGGAAATCTCACTTGTAGGACTAACTGTGATGGGACAAAAAACGAGTGGGAAAAAAGTATCAGGAAAACTTGCAGTAGGAAAAAATGTTTTAGGAAAAATGACTTGCCACCGTTCGAATTTAAACATTTTGATACATGATACTGAACGGTGCTAGATCAGTTTTCCTAATTTTGTTCTTCCTACTCGTGTTTTGTCCCATTACAGTAAGTCCTACGAGTGAGATGTCCCGCTGGCTTTTTTCCTACGAGAGTTCGTCATAATAATCCAATAATAATTGAAACGTAAGCATGAGTAGAGCAGAGGGAAACGTTTCAGTAAGTGTTTTTTTTTTTTTTTTTTTTTTTTTTTTTTTTTTTTTTTTTTTTTTTTTTTTTTTTTTNTTTTTTTTATTTTTTATTTATGAACAAAACTACAGAGTATTAAGTGTAAGTTGTGTGTGTGTAGGGTGTGTTTCAGTAAGTGTAAAATTTCCTCGGCGAGCAAAATATAAGTGCGTGAAGAAGAGACGCCTCAATCTGAGCCCTCTTTCCCTCAATATGAGGAAGAGGATGAAGCTCCACTACTTACGGGCATGTGGTCACAACTTTAACTTGTATCTGTGTACCTTGTAACAGTGTACCTATGTTGTTTTTTAAATTGAATTTATGACAAATGCCCCCAGGAAAAAAGCAAGTAGGACATCTCACTCGTCGGACTAACTGTGATAGGACAAAAAACGATTAGGAAAAAAGTAATAGGAGAACTTGGAATGGAAAACAATGTTTTAGGAAAAATGACTTGCCACCATACTTAACCAATTTTTAACGTAGAACACGATTCGCTCGACAAAAATTTCTGAAATGAATTCCTAAGTCGGAAAAAAAGTGAAGTTGATTTAACATTCTGGATGTAAAAAAAAGTGTGCGAGAACTTATAAAATGCTGCATTACCCGCCGCATTAGTTAATTTTACATCCTGGCATTGCTTAAATAACTGCTGTAGCTAGTATTTCAGCATTTTTAAGTCTCCGCACACTTCCTCTACATCCAGATTGTCAAATTAACTTCACTTTTTTTTCGGTCAATGCGTAAATTCAAATTTCCCGCTCATGAAGAAACAGAAGTCTACGTGAAACAAATCACGCACTAAACGTTTAGCAGTCTCTGTGGTATGAAAATATGGCAACCGCGATTTCGGTGCTTCAACTTAGTTGTTGCCTATTTTTAAGAATTCGCATAACACAAGTTGGAGAAGGAACATTGCTCGTTTAAAAAGCCTGCCAAAACTAGTGGAGTGCGCGTTGATTCAAGTAGACCATTGTTTACTAAGTGAGCGAGAAATCCAAAATTCTTGTTATCAATTTAGACGAGATACGTCAATATCTTAGTAGTAAGGAGTCGATTCATCGTTACGCGAATCGTGTTCTGCGTATGAAATCTTGGTCAAGATCCATGTATCAGAATACTGGAATTTATACCTTGTCTACTGAACCATTATTGTTTATTGCGAAAATTTAGAACTCCTCGGGTCTGCAGACTTCAAACCGTCGTCCCAGTTGGAAGGAAATATTTTCAAAATTTCCTAAAATTTTTCGAAAAATTGTTGAGGAAGCAGTTGAAAACTGTCCTGACAAGATTTCGTGAGCGGAATATCACAAATTGATAAACCGACTAAACATTTTCTGCGTCATCACTTGCACATACGTTTGATATTGAGGGTCACTTTTCGGAGTAATTACACCTCAATCATTAGCCGTCCGCTGACGCTGAGCGACTTTGAGTTCGCAAATGGCTGTATGGATGGAGGTGCAATTAAGTACTCCGAGACGCGTCCCTCAATATTGAACGAACGTGCAAGTCACGACTCAGCGACATTTTATTAATTTCATCATTTTGCTTTTTCATACCCTGATATGGTTTTTCAATCACAAATTGGAATGATAAAATTTTTGTGAACCTCCATACGCAAAAGGAACGTACAATTAGTTTTGGATGAACGAATGAAATATCTGTGACTTTGCGCAAGAACTCAATTGTGCCGGGTATGGGGGCATAAATCTGAAAACGCCTTCAATTGAAAGATGTAGAGATTTGCGTTACCGGAGAGTTAAAATAATTCCATTGCGATCTCGCCTCTGAGTAGAGTTCCATCGATTGAACCTACTTTCTTTACTGATATTGGATTAGCCGTCTTCAAACGGTTATGCTCCATCAAAAAATAAAATAAACGAAGCTACTAGCAACTTAATTTTTGGGTTAAAAGATATTTTTACTTTCTCGCTCCCCTAGGGTAGAGAGGAAGTATTTTCATCCTCCAAGAAAAAAAAAAAGTTGAAATTTCATCATTTCTAGACGTTTTAAGGTCCCAGGAGTCAAAATAACCATACTTGTTTTTAAAATCAATTTACAATATCTGTACGTTTTTCGAAGTACATAAATCCAAGCCTTTATGCAACACCACGGTCTGGTTCAGCGTTTCATGCGGCATTTTTTGTTTATACGTGTTTGTGAGGTACTTCTCTGTCCTCTGATTTCAACCACTCAATTATGAGTTACTCATTAATTCAGCTCTTTTCTCCCAGGAATGGCCGCAAATACTAAATTTTTGAAGAAAAACACGTATAAATTGAAAATCTTCCTGAGTGCAAGAATTCTATTTGGAGTTCATCGCGGTTATAAAATCTCTTTACCCACAAGTAATAGGTCGAAGTAAACGTAATAAAGAAGTAAGGATCTTGGTAACAATGACCATTCAAAAACTCTTAGAATAATGTTAAAAATATGTTTTGCGAAAATCTCTTTGGTTTTT